TAACACATGCGTCAGACTCAGCCGAATACGTCGGCCGAAAGTGCGGATACACTGAACATATCAACTCGGCTGCCTAATATTCACATTCATGCCACCATTAAACAGCAAACAACGTATACACACTCACTCTGCCAGGCGTGAATTAACACACATCGCGGTAACCACCTGCAGGCATTGTTGCCTGTGACAGCAACCCAGGACTCCGTACAAAATAACTGCTTAACTCTGTGGACGCCAATTACATATGACCCTACTGTCTCTGCACTCGCGCGAGATAATGAATGGTAGTCATGCATATAAGAATGTGGATATATATAAAGTGCGTGACCGATCGCATGAAATGCGTTTTCGATTAGGAAGGATTAATACGGTGAATACTGATTATTGTGGGGCATAATCCTATAACATTTCACACTCGGCAGGATGTCGACTTTTGAATGCACTTCCTTTAGGCCTCCTGCAGAAACCGTACTCGGCAAAGAATGACTACTTAAGTAGCATGCATTTTTCGCCTTGATTTTCGACGGTCTTATAAATCCAAATATATTGCATGAAAAACATTCAAAAAATGCTTTCCTCTACTCATTTGATAGAGAATCACGTCATCTTTATATTGTACGCATGAAGAAGGAGTATAATCAGGTTTTAGAAAGTTTTCTAATCCCCGAATAATTTGGGGCCTGAGTAGCCGTTGCATTATCGCTTAGTGATTTAAGTGTACAAGGAGCATGCGTTCACTGTGCGGGACGTCATACATTCTTATATACCTTTAAAAGATACTATATAGAGTTCATAAAATTTTGCAATGGATGCGGACTATCCTGTACTTTTTATGAGGAGCAGTGGTAAGCGGACAGGTACGATGATGTGTGAATGGACATTGTCCGGTCTTAAAAAATCTCATAATTAGAAACTTTTTAAAACCTAATTATTCTCCTTCTTCATATGTACAATATAAAGATGACGTGATTCCCTATCAAATGAGTAGAAGAAAGCACTTTTTGCATGTTTTTCATGAAATATATTTGAATTAATAAGACCATCGAGAATCAAAGCGAAAAATGCATGCTACTTAAGTAGTCATTCTTTACCGAGTACGGTTTCTGCAGGAGGTCGAAAGGAAGTGCATTCAAAAGTCGGCATCCTGCCGAGTGTGCAATGTTATAGGACTACTCCCAATATCCTTCCTACTCGAACACGCACTTCATTAGACCGGCCACGCACTGTAATTTGCACGATATACCATACTTGACAGCACAGGTACTACTTAAAAGACCAAATTTCATTCTGACCCCATAAGTCTCAAATAGGCGGACTTATTCCGAGTTACTAATTTCTGAGAGAATTAAAAATCTGCAGTAATTCTTATCTAACCGGAATTTTTTAAAGCACGCAATGTAATATCAAGAAACAAGCGGTCATTCAGGGAGAAAATAACAAGCATGAGCAGTTTCTGGTCAGGTATCTAGCAGTTTAGCAAGTTCACTTAAAGATGTCTTTAAAGGAGAAATAAACGCGGTGGTGGCCTAGGCCAGCAAACTGTTCAAACCATAATTTGACGGGGCTACACGAAAAACAACGGATTTCTGGTTCTGGTTATGCACAGGAGGAATAAGTAGCTAAATCTTTCTACCTTTTAAAAATGTATACTATTGGCAAACTGACGGAGACGGGGAAAATGAGTAAGGAAGTCCTCATCTTGTCTGGCATTTATTGCTCGACACAGATGAACCTATCGTCCTCCATCACTGAATTATTTACTGCTGTCATATGGACTTTGGAACTCCGGTCTCCGCTGCTGTGCCAGCGTCTGATATGACGGCGCCTCAAGGTCACACTCCGGGATCTGTGACTTCTGCGTCAGGCGGGTCGCTCCATCGTGGCTCAACAGTAGTGCAGTCACCTAGTTTGCGGACCGTAGGCCGTTTTGATGGTGGGGAGACACGGACAATCTCATCTGACTTAGCTCGCCGGTCAAGGACCGTTTACCGGGGTGTGGCCGCCGTGCTGAG